CTGCCTCAGCCTCCCAAAGTGCTGGGATTACAGGTGAGAGCCACCGCGCCCAGCTGCAGATTGCATTTTTTAGCTGTTTAAGGGCCACATCTTTGTAGTATATTTTCATTGTCCCCAGCAGAACTGGTCACTGCCTTTCACCCAGGACAAGTCATTAAGTCAGCTGAGGTGGCTGCAGCCTCTCAAGGGAGATGGTCATCAGGAGGACTGAAGTGGGGCCTGGGTGCTTGAGTATGGCCAGCCGATACTCAAGTAGTCTTAAAAAGATAGTCTGGAATAAAAGCTGCCAATGACTTTTCACTATACATGCAGAAATGCAAGCAACCCGTGGAGAATTGTTTTCAAACAGCCTAGAAGGGGTTCTTCTGTTCCCTTCTGCTCCGGCCAGCCTCTTATCCTTCAAGAACTACTGCAGGCACCCCTGTCTCCAGGAAGCCCTCTTTCCTTGCTCCAGGCTGGTTACATGCCCTCCATTCTGCAGGACCCGTAAAGTGTGGTGCCTTCTGCTGCTCACATTGAATTGCAACTAGCCCCATGGCTCAGCAAGCCCCAGATTTGAGTCCTGTACTCACTCTAAACCATAAAATTCCTTCATACAGATTTGGAAAAGATGTCCCTTCTTCTGAGGGGACATGGGCCCAAGACAGGGTATTGGCCCTGATAAGTGGCACACAGACGGGATTTCAGCTCCGCTCATCCCCTCAGCCATGCAGCTTTGGCAGCGAACGCCTTCAGTGCCCGTACATGCTAGCCTTGAGTTGATTTACCTTTTCAAGAAGATCTGAGACGTCCCCTGCCTGCCCCCACCCAGGAACTTGGATAATCCCTGCAAGGAGCCTGGGAAGTCAGTATATAATATGCATTTTCATTTTAAGAATGGGGAAACTGAGGCTCAAAGTTGTTAAGGATGTGCACAGGGCTTGCAGCTGGCCTGGAGCCCAGGTCTTCCGGCTTCAGTTCAGTTCTTCCCACTGAACCACTGAGCAGGTTTTCTGACCCGGAAGCCAAACATTTCAGAATTTCCTGCTGGTTTAGGGCTGCGTGGGCTGCACGGGGGCGGTTTCTGGACAGCTTTCCTGGAAGCCAGCGTGTCCCAGCAAACTGGTAGGAGAAAAGCCACCACTGGGAGATGGCACTTTCTCTCCAAAGCCCTGCTCCACGGGACCTTCCTGTGAAGGCAGGGCCTGCTCCAGCCACAGCTGCTCCCCCTCCTCCACCCGGTGATCCCACTAAGCAGAAGGCATCTGAATCCTGGATCCCGGCTGGCTGAGCAGGTACCTGGCAACTGTACCCGCAAATGTGTGCCTAGCCTTGCAGACATGGCCTTGGGCCTGCTGAGAGGGGAAGGCAGGCTCATCTGTGAGTGTATGTGGGGTGGGGGAAGGGGTATCTACACTGCACCCAGGGGACACCCCCCACTCTGCTTCTCTGGCTGCTCCCTGCCCCCAGGCTTCCGTTCTTCTCCACTCACCTCACCTGTGGGTCTGTCCCTGCCAGAAGAAACTTGCTGATTTCTGGGGTGAAGGCAATACACCCATTAAGGGGTTGTAGGGCCATCCTGGCCAGGCCTCTTCAGTGTCCGTTTGGGACATCTCATGGCAGGCAGGACACTGTGCCCAGCTGTCATGGGAGGGCCATGGGGATGGGGAGGCACAGGGCCAGGCACGCCTGGTCTCTCTGGAGAAACCCTGGTGGCTTCTCCCAGGACTGCTGGCCTGGTCCCACCCACAGGCTGTGCAGGGTAAAAGCGCAGGAAGGAGGGAGCCAGAGGCCATGGGGAGAGGGACAAATGCCAGGGAGGAGACACAGACCCTGCCGTGCATCAGGCCAGTGGCCTGGTCACCCTTGGACACACACGCCCAGCACTGCACTCCTCAGCCCTCGCTCAGGGTAGTGGAGACGTCAGGACTCATCAGTTGCATCCTGGGCCCGTGAGCCAGGTCACAACAGCCACTGCCTCAGGCAGGGTCCCCCAAGCGCTGGGGTTCGACAGCCAAGGCTTTTCCGACTTTGGTTTTCTAAGATCCGTCACTTGGGGTGCTGCATGGGGGCAGGAGAGAGCCATGGGTTTAGGGTCAGTCAGCCCTGAGTTCAAACTCATTTCGTTAGCTTGAACGGTGGGACAAGTCACCCCCTGTTACGGACTAAATTGTGTCCCTCCAAAAATGCATATGTTGACGGCCTGACCTCCGGCACCCCAGGGCGTGCGTTTGTGTGTGTGTGTGTGTGTGCGCGTATGTGTGTGCCCAGCCCTCCACCCTGAAGCTAATGTTGGAGTCCACCTGTCAGGAGAGGCCGGGGAGCCCTCATGAGCCCCCAGTGGGGTTACCTGGAATATTTGTCATTGCCCATTCTGTGAAAACTCATTTCCTCACAGTTCTGAAGGCTGGAAGTTCGAGATCAACATGTTGGTAGGGTTACTTTTTCCTGAGACCTCTCTCCTGAGCTGGCAGAGAGCCACCTTCTCTCCTCACACAGCCTCCTCCTGTTCACAGGTCCCTGGTGTCTCTTTTCTTATAAGGACATCAGTTGTATTGGATTAGGGCCCACCTGGATGACCTTATTTTATTTATTTATTTATTATTTATTTCTTTGAGACAGAGTCTTGATCATCTCCTGAGGGAGTGCAATGGAGTGATCTCGGCTCACTGCAACCTCCACCTCCAGGGTTCAAGTGATTCTCCTGCCTCAGATTCCGGAGTAGCTAGGAATTAGAGGCTCCCACCACCACGCCTGGCTGATTTTTGTGTTTTTAGTAGAGACAGGCCATGTTAGTAGAGAAAGCCTTGTTGGCCAGGCCGGTCTCAAACTCCTGACCTCAAGTGGTCCATTGCCTCGGCCTCCCAAAGTGCTGAGATTATGGACATAAGCCTCCATGCCTGGCCTAACATTAATCATCTCTTCAAAAGCTCTATCTTCAAATGCAATCAACTTCCCATTTTTCCAGTCACAGCCCACTGGGGGCAGTGGGAATATCTGTACTCTTGAAGCTCACATTATGTTTTCTCCTGGCCCTGTGTCAGGCCCCCCAGCTTTCCTGGTCATAGCTCCCTGGGGGCAGACATATCCACATGACAAGCGCTCCAGATAACCCCTCTCCTGCTCTCTGGGGGCTCACGAGGGCTCACCAGCTTCTTCTGACAGGTGGATTCCAGCATTGGCCTCAGGATGGAGGGCGGGCCTGGCACACATAGCAAATATACACACACACACGCATGCACACATACACACGTTCTTACAGCGGCTCTCTCAATGCAGCCCACTGGCAAGCTCCATCTCCTTCCTGGAAACCAGGCAACAGAACCCAGAGCAAGGCAGGTGCCGCACGCAACCTCTGAACCACAGCTCCACCCCAAACCTGGGCCACACGGTGGTTGGGGAAACAGAATCCCCCAACCTTTCCCACCAGGCTTATAAGCCTGAAGATGGGTTTTGAAGAATGTATGGGCATCTGCCAGCATGTGCGAGACTGCACGGGCCTGGTGGGAGGCAGGGTGCTGCTGGCCCGAAAGCCGGGGCAGGAGGCTGTGTTGCCCAGCCCAGCCCAGGGCTGACGGGAGCTTGGAAGCAGAGGAAGAGGGTGGTGTCTGCCTTGGTGGGGACTGGGGTGGGGGTGTTGGGGGCAATCTAAGATCACAACTGGGCATCCTCACCTTCTGGGTAGTTGCCTTTTTTTCACATTGGTGACACTGACCTTCGGGACCAAGCTGCATCTAAGAGCACCCACTGCTGCTCACACCATGCTGGCCTGGGCCCAGAGTCTAACGGGTGTTTGTTGACTGGCTGAGTGAGCTGGTGGGTGCCAAGGAATTTAACTCAGCCCAGTCCAGATGCCGTTCCCTGGATGCTGGGCTCAGGGCCATTGATGCTGGATTCCGCATGAGCTTTGTGCTGCTTCCCAGGGCCTAGAGGAGCACTGACGTGGGAGGAGCCCACGAGCACCTATTTCCAATCAACACTGAGGACGCAGACACAAATGGTGCACAGCTGGTGGAGAAAACAGGCCTCAGCTGGGTTCAGTGGCTCATGCCTGTAGTCCCAACATTTTGGGAGGCCAAGGTGGGCGGATCACTTGAGGTTAGGAGTTCAAGACCAGCCTGGCCAATATGGTGAAACCCCATCTCTACTGAAAATACAAAAATTAGCCAGGCGTGGTGGCACGCCTGTAATCCCAGCTAGTTGAGAAACTAAGGCATTAGAACTGCTTGAACCTCAGAGGCAGAGGTTGCACAGTGTGCCGAGATTGAGGCACTGCACTTCAGTGTGGGCAAAAGAGCAAGACTCTGTCTCAAATTAAAAAAAAAAAAAAAAAA